TACTTGGAGGTTCATGGGTCGTTAAAAGTCCTTATAGTTAACTCACTTAGAATCCCACTTATAACTACCCATGAACCTCCAAGTAGGGTTTAGGCTTTGGGGTTTGGGGTTTCAACTTCAGGGGCTTCGGGTTCAGGCTTCAGGGCTTTAAGATTGCTTAGGGTTCGGGGCTCCGGGCTGTTGGTATTCGTGCTGGTTCTGTTGCTGGTGGTACTGGCTGGGGTGGTGGTGGGTCAGTGAACCCTAAACCCTAAACCCTAAACCCTAAACCAGGGGCAGTGCCTTGCAGGAAACGCCAGGTCCTTACACCGAGACGCCCTTTAGAACCTGTGCTGATGCAAGGGCTCGGAGCTATAGGTTTAGGGTTTAGGGTTTAGGGTTAGGTTCATGCCAGGTTTAGCTACTTTGCGGTACAGTAGAGCTCTGGAGTTTGGTCTGCATGCCCTGCGTGGCTCGCACAGCCACGTCCCAGCAAACTTTGCGCGGGATGAAATCAACGGTTCCCCGCGGATGCAAATGGGACTTTCCGAAAATAGGGGACCCAAATATAGTACCCTAAATAATAGGATCCCTATTATAAGGACCCCAAAATAAGGTACCCTAATTTTCTGAAACTCCCAAATTAGGGCAGCACTATTGCAAGGTCTAGGGCTTAAGGTTTAGGAGTCAAGGGTCAAGGGCTTAGGGCGATGCGGCTTCAACTTGTCTTTCCCTCTCCGAAGTCTTCTCCGGTGAACACTGTAAACCTCACTACAAACAAGTGCCTGGACCTATACCCGGAACCGCTCCAGAGATCCGAGATTTCCTGTGTAGGAGCGGAACAAATGGACTAAGGTTTCACTGCGCTGTAGTTTTACAAGATCTACGCACACACAACTTTAGCAACCAGTCTACGCCGTAAACCGGCTAATAAATTTGTAGGCCTCAATGGTGGGAAAGTAGGTAGCATGAAGGATCCCTTATACAAGGGCTCTTGTGTTGGGATTTAACCCACCTACCTTTGTCCCACCCTTGGAGCCCTTTCAGAAACATTTACTGAGTTACGAAACATCCAGACGCTAAACGGCAGAGGTCCTACAAACGAACGCCAGAAATCCCTAGAGGTTCAACTAAGTACCCACTAATCCAAACGTTAGCATACAAACCTACTCTTCTAAACCCTAAACCCCCAAACCCAAAAAATCCTAAACCCTAAACCCCAAACCCTAAACCCCTAAGCTCCTAAACTCCTAAACCCCTGAGCCCCTAAACGCCTAAAGGCCTAAACCCCTAAACCCTAAACCTGTTATGAGATCCTTTGGACCCTTCGGGAGTTCCTTTAGTCGTAAAGGGATCCGGGGCATGAGTTACTTAGGGCTGAGTACCTGAGCCCAAAACTAGGGTTTAGGGTTTAGGGTTTAGGGTTTAGGGTTTAGGGTTTAGGGCCCTAAACCCTAAGTTAACCTTTCGAGTTATAGTGGGATTATATAAGCCCCTAAAGGTTAAAGGTTACCTACTCAGCCCCTAAGTTTAAAGGTGCCTTCCGGGATCAGGGGGTCCTGAGCTTGACGACTCTTTCAGGGTTTAGGATTTAGGGTTTAGAATTTAGGTGTTAGGGTTTAGGGTAGGTTTTTCAGTGGCTTTGGAGGTAAGGGTTTCAGGAGCGTCTTCACTAGGGCTACTGCTGCTAGTTGTGAATGGCTAATCGTAAGCAGCCATTGGATGGGTACTACGGCCATACTTATCTCTCGTGCCAGTTGCCCTCGTCTGCTATTGCTTCGGCGTCAAACACTACTTTCCATGCTTCTGCGTCCTATTTAAAAAACCCTAAGCCCTCAACCCTGTTTGTTTTAAATTTGTCCACTCCACGACTACCCAGAGACCCAATGCCCACTAATCAAGCATATAAGATATCTTGCACGGGTATTGAAAAGAAAACCTGATATGGCTTGAAACATAGAAGGGAAACCCTTACCACTTAACCCTAGGTGCCATGGGATTGTAGGGTTTAGGGTTTAGGTTCAGGTACCATGACCCCGACGGGCTTTTTGGAGAACCGCGCCGTGAGGAGGCGTCTGCCTCTTCGTGTGCAGATCACCTGGCTCTGGGCCCTAAGCCCTAAACCTGGAAAACAAAGTATTAAAGGTTCCTGTAAGTCCTTGACGGGTTCTATAAGGGTTTAGGGTATAAGCAGTATAGGGTTTGGAGTTTCGTGGTCTGCAATACATGGGCTCGAGATCCTCTGGAGTTCGGGACTGAGACAGATCCTGAACCTCTGAAAGCCATGAGGCCAGAAACAACCTTGCACCCCTAGAAATCACAAACAACATGGTACCCGACTAAAGAGCCTTGAATACCAGGATTCTTCCTGTAAGGGCTCTCAATCTGGGATCCCTAAACCCTAAACCCTAAACCCTAAATACCAGGATTCTTCCTGTAAGGGCTCTCAATCTAGGATCCCTGATTTCAGGCTCGGGCTTGGGGCTGGGGGTTCAGAAGACACCTGCTGTCGAAGCACTATTTGCAAGGCTGTGGTTGCAACGAGTAAATACTGCGAGACAAAGGTTAAGTCTGCAGTCTTACGCCCCAAACTTTCCTCAACATACTTTACCCTAAGGGTCCAAGTACCCATTATTTGATGACTTTGGGCCCTTTTTGGGTACCTAAAACCACAAATAAGGACTACTTGGACCCTTAGGGTTACCAAGAGCATGGGAACAATGATGCTCGATCTTTCTGGCTGCTACCCGTAGAGTTTTCTTAAACCCTAAACCCTAAACCCTAAACCTTACTCCCTAAACCCTAAACCCTAAACCCTAAACCCTAAACCTTGGGGTTTGGGGGGGGGTAGCCAGGAGCTTGTCCGATGGCCAGCTTTGGGGCCTCGCTGGGCTCTTTTAGGGTTCTGGGCTTGGGACCGATATGTATGTGCGTGCATATACATATGGGTAGTTTTCTAAACTAGGGTCTCTTTGGGGGTCCTTTTTATAAGGGTGCCGTACTATATGGGGGACCCCAAAAGGGACCCTAATTTAGAGAACTGCCCATGTATATATATATATATATATGTATATATATATATATATTACATATATGTATATATGCTTCTATGTGACGTCTAAGGTTTTTCAGCTCAGAACTCAAGGCTCCAGGGCTAAGGTTTTGGGATTGAAACATGACCTGGGGGATTGTAAACTTACGGCCTTGAACTCCCAACCCGAGGGTTTGCCAAGCATTGGACTCAGGGCTTATAAGGTTTAGGGCGTATGCTTGGAGGTTCATGGGTAGTTCTAGGTAGAGTTATAAGTCAGGTAACTGTAATTATAACCCATATTAAGGGACTTATAACCATACTTATAACTATCCATGAACCTCCAAGTGGGGCTTGGGTTTAGGGTTTAGGGCCTGAGGGTTGGGGGTTTGGGGATTCTGGCTTCCGGGCTTTAATTTGCGTTCCTAGGGCTTAGCTCGATATTTTGGGTTGAGGGCTTGGGGCTGCGGTTTAGGGCTCAGGGCTGTAAGCTCGCATGCAATGCAACTCTCCGCTACTTATAGCAAACCCGCTAAAATTCCTAAAGTAAAACCCAATAGAAATCCCTACGCAACTCGCAGAACACGTCAAAAAACCTTATGAACAGGCCTTTATAATGAACAATATCCTTGCGCCGGTGTCCACGCTGCCGGCGTGTGCTACACGTGCCTGTCGACAGCGTAAAACACCAAACACAAGACCCTCAACCACGCCCTCCCCGGGAAATGAAGCAACCAGGGAGAAAAAGTATAGACTTTTATTTCATAATGGTTCCTTTAAGGAACAGGTCCCCAAAAAAAGTACTAAAGTATGGTACTCCAAAGCCCAGCTCCCTGTGGTCCAGGGCGGGAGGCCAACTCTGCGTCTCCCACCCCGGGCTTCTTTAAGGGTACCCCTTAAGGGTTCCCTTAAGGGTTTAGGGTTTAGGGTTTAGGGTTTAGGGTTTAGGGTTTAGGGTTTAGGGTTTAGGGTTTCGGGTTCTCAAACTACACCTGAAACCCTAAACCGTATGACACTGGGCGAGGTGGATGCGCCTTCACTACAAAAACAGTTTCCCTTTATTGCCGACCGCAACCCCAAACAAGGACATAAACAGGAAATCATATCTAAGGAACTCCTCAAATGGAGGCTTTACAGGGTTCAGATATGGTTTAACTTTCAAATCATCCGACTTGGGATGACTCTTCTGCATGGTTGGGGCAGCCCGGGCCGAAACATTGCCAATCGACAGCCACTTTCAATCATGCAAGAAGCCCTCCATTCCGGAGGTTCACGAGTAGTAGGGTTTTTGTATCGGCATCTAAAAGTCTAAAACCATCCAGAGTCTGGAATTTTGGATCTACAGCCTTCTTTGGGGGGATACTTGGACCCTCTGGGCCGCAACAAAGGTGCGGCCGGCGGGCGCTGGACTTTTAGAAGCCTTGTCACATTGTCCTATCCCAAAATGATCCAAAACCCTGTTCAGAGCCTTCTCTGCACGCCGCGAGCCCCTAGCAGGAAATCCCGAAACCACACTGAACTTAAACCGTAACGGCCCTAAACTCCCAGCCCCAAACCTTGAACCCTGCGGACCCTAAAACCCAAAACCCCACATCAAGAGGCCTCTAAGAAACCCGGAAACACCTGTGAACACATTTGGAAGAAAAGGGGGGATCCATGAATTAAGGCATCTGCGCCATACTCATCATAACGACTCCTCGAAAATCTATGAAAAAACATCAACCCCGAAACCCCTAAACCCTAAACCCTATGAAAACCCTCAAAGGGACCGAGCGGACCTCGATGGCTTCTTGCTCGACCAGATGGCCTTTGCCCGCGGGCCTGGGCTCTGCAGACACGGTTTAGGGTTTAGAGGGTAGAGGGTTTAGGGTTTAGGGTTTAGAGGGTTTAGGGTTTAGGGTTTTGGGTTTTAAGGAATACATTGTCCGTATTAACTTTGACAGTTGGAACAAGGTTTTGGGGTATAGCACAATAGAATTGTAAAGGGGAAACCTGCGGAATAATTGTCGCACATATTCAGGTTTCTACATTCAAGTCCAAATTTTCGTGGCTTGGAGGTCAGCGTTCCTGTTGGGGCATTTGGGATCTAGGCTTTCGGGCTTAGGGTTAACTAGCCTCTGACTTTGAAGCCTCAAGACATCACAACTCAAAAGCAGTCAACGCCTCTCGAAACTTCCTGAAGAAACCACATGAACAGGTGGACTGCGATTTGCAATGGCCGAAATTGATGGTATGTTTCAAAAAGCTTCGCTTCACTACAAGGTCATCGGCCTTCCCTATACTCCGGCTCCATGTTAAGGCTATATTGAAATATGATCAAATATCACCCTGATTAAAACAAAAACGTAAAATTGTAGCCAACAAGGACCCGGCACTGATTTCATGCGGTGTAAGGTTGAAGGTTTACGGCTTGAAGTTCGGGTCGGGAGCTATGCAGCACTAAGCCCTGAAGCCTCAACCATTTCAGGATCCCCAAGACGCCAGATGTAAGGGTCTAAGGGCTTTGATTAGGGTTTGGGTTTAGGGTTTAGGGTTTAGGGTTTAGGGTTTAGGGTTTAGGGTTTAGGGTTTAGGGTTTAGGGGGTCTAAGGGGTTTGATTAGGGTTTGGGGTTGAGGGGACCAATGTCATCAGACCCTTCATGCTGAACAGGGTTAGGTCAAGGTTTCAGGTTAGCTCTATGCAAAGTCACCCAAAACCCCAAACCTGACACACGGCGAACCTAAGCGCGCATGAACCCAAAACAAACATGCACGCACACACGCACACACAAACAAACACACACACACAACCGAACACAGACACACACACACACACACACACGTAACATAACATGACATAACATAAAAAGCGAAAGAAACCAAAGCGGCGTTTATGTCAGTGGCTGGCTTGTGGTTCACCGTTGTTTCGCTTTTGGGACCTGGAAACTCAGAGGCCCAGATCCCCGGATGAAGGCGTATACCGCACCTAAAATCTCCAGCGCGGTTCCTTTTCTCAGTTCAATATCTAGCCCTAAACCCCCAGGTACCTACTATATAGGGCACTAGGGGCTCTAGTACCCTATATAGTAGGCACCTGGGGGGTTTAGGGTAGGCTCCTTTTAGGCAACCTCAAAATTGCTGAATGATGATGTTAAAATCCCTGTCCTTTGTGCGAGTTGTGTGCGCATCGACCCGAAACTCTGAACCCTTGCGAGGCTCAGCGTTTGAAGTGTTTAAAAGGCTCGCAATCTACCTTAACCTACCAAAACCTACTTTTTTGGTAGGCTCCCTACAAATTCCATATTAGGGTTTATAATAAGAACCTACAAAAAAGTAGGTTTTGGTAGGTTAAGGTAGGGTTGCGGGCCTACGAATCGCCACGAGTAAAACCACCTAGGACCATAGAAGCGGAAGCCCCTGAAGACTTCGGGTCACTTCCCGTCCAGAGCACTCCTGCCACTGTTCTGCCAGTCAGATCCATGGATGCGGTTCCGCAGCGTGTTCTTGGAGGTTCATGGGTAGTTCTAAATGGAGTTATAAGTCCCCTAATATGGGTTATAACTGTAGTTACCCTACTTGTAGCCGCATTTATAACTACCCCTGAACCTCCAAGTTGCTGCCGCCTCTACCGTTTGGCACCTCTGTACCGAGGCTAGCCATGTACAGGAACGGGCTCTCGTGCAAGATCAAACGGCTCTTCTTCATCTTTGCATACTCATACTTAAGCACCGCCGTTTCAGCCTCCTTCCTCAAGTTCTCCACCGCCTTTGGCAAGTCCTCTCCGTTTCTCAATCATATGCTTGAAGTCATCGCTGACGTGATTGATGTCAGCCGTCATCGGGAACTAGATGTTTGTGATGCTCTCCTTCAACGTCGGGACTGGAACCAATACTGTGGCATCTTTAGTGACATCGGAGTATGGGGCGCATTCCCAATTTAGTTGATAGTACCAGGGCAGAAAAGGATTAGAATGCGGTTTTGGGGTATACTGCACCATAACTTACTCGGACTGTGAAGGACAAGCAGTACCAAATTTCTCGGCCCCTAGATTAAACCCGAAATTCTGCTATAAAACCCTTACGTATAGTCTTATAGGAACCCTTTTGAGGAACCGAATCATCTCACTTAAGCTAAGTATTCTCCTTGACGCTCAACAGACTCGATGTTTCGGGGCCCGGCTTGTGGCTGTAATGGTGATCGCGGCGGGAGTCACCTGCCACAACAGCCCGGCAGATTCCAGGTTTAGGGTTTCAGGATTTCGGGCTTTAGGGCTGTAGCCTGTAGCGCTTGTAGGGTTTAGGGCTTTATGGTTTTAGAGTTTAGGGGTTCAGGGTTAGGGTTCGAGAGTTTGCGGTCGGGTTTAGGGATTCAGGGTTTAGGGGGTTGGTAAGGGTTTGGGGTCTCGGGGCTCTCAGAATGGAGCCCTGAACGGTCAGGGTCCGGGGTTTAGGGCTTCATGGTGCAGGAGTTTAGGGTCTCGGGTGCAGGGTTACCGGGTCCTATGGTATAGTGGCCTTAACAAATTACAGTAAGGAGTTGGGGTATACGATAGTCTAGATATGTAACATCCTATCAGAAGTGATTAAGAAGTTCTATAAACCCTAAACCCTAAACCCTAAACCCTAAACCCTAAACCCTAAACCCTAAACCCTAAACCCTAAACCCTAAACCCTAAACCGTACTATAGGCAACTCTGCAGGCCCCTCAGGTACAGCACAGGGCATTGCAGGGCTCGCGTTTTCAGAGAGGGCTGGGGGTTTAGGGTTTAGGGTTTAGGGTTTAGGGTTTAGGGTTTAGGGTTTAGGGTTTAGGGTTTAGGGGCAGTTTAGAGTTCATAAGTCTGAGCGGCAAAGCGTCTCGGTCGAAACGTTCCGGTCAAAACCTATTCAGCGCCCAAGCCCTTCTTCGCAGCTTCTATAAACCCCCAAACCCTACACCCAAAACCCCCAAAACCCTAAGGTATGTTAAGAAGGTTTTGTATAACAACCCTGCTTCTAAACCCTTATAAACCCCAAAACCCTAAGGTATGTCAAGAGGGTTTTTTTATAACAAATCTCTTTATAAACCCTTTTAAACCCCAAAACCCTCCGTATAAACCCCAAAACCCTAACCCAAAACCCAAAAACCTAAACCCCAAACCCTTAAAACTCAAAACCCTAAACCCAAAACCCTAAACCCCAAAACCCTAAACCGAAAACCCTAAGGTATGTTGGGGCTTAGGGCGAAAGCTGTAAGGGGCACGTCGGACTCCGGAGGCTCTCGGGCTTTTGTTTTTAGGGGTTAGGGTTTAGGGGTT